TAAATAAAGATTTAAAAATAATTTTTTTTTTATAAAAGGTGTGACCTGGAGCGACAGCACCCCAAACGCTGGATGACCCACAGGAGCAGCCGCTCGGCAGGGCTGGAGGGTGAGGGGCGGCCCACGGCACAGGGACCAGGGGGCCAGAGGACAAAGGCCTGCACGCGTGGCTGAGCAGCTCCGACTCTCTTCCTGACCGCGGTGGGGACGGCCAAGTGCGGTCAGGTCTGTTCTGCAAACCCAGCCTCTGAGCACCCTTCCTGCTCTCGGCGCCTCGCACACACGGCCTCCCGGCGAGCCTCACGCCCTGAGTCCTGTCTCCATGCCGTCCTCATCGTGCAGACCGGGACACGGGCTCGGGCAGGTTCAGTAACACGCACAAGTCCATATCGTGAACTAGGGGCAGAGCCCCTAGGGGACGGGTCGTGGCCCCTGGACCTGGACCTGCCCTGGGCCTTGCACTTGACAGGACCCCGCTCTGGCCTCCTCTGGCCGTGGCCCTCCTGCCGGATGACAAGGCTGTGGGACCAAGAGGGTGTGCCCATCCGGGCCATCCTCCGGGACAGACCCCGCAGCCTGTATGCCCACTTCTAGGCCACGGGTGTGGAGTGAATTTGAAGGACACGCAGCTCGAAGGGCCCATAAGGCCCCTCACTCCATTTCTGGAACAGAATTCTATGGCATCTATGAACTCCTCATTGACCTGGCTTTCCAGGTCATTGAGAAGGTACACTCACCGAGGGTGGCGGACAGAACCCACTTACGGAGCATCCGTTAGCCTGAGTCATAGCATGTAGACATGTGGCCTTACGGCGCCTGGGCTCCATTTGCTCTCACGCCTCGGGCCCTACACAGGGGGAAGTGGTTTCTGGAATGCGCGTTCTTCTTCAGGGGAGAAGCCAAAAACAACTTTGTCTTTTGTCCCCTGCCCCCACGAACCCACTCTCTGGACGCATTCATTCCTTCCTCTGCTGAAATCTGGGCACATCCCACATCTCCTCTGGTTTCTCCTAGTCAGAAGAACACATCCACACCAAGAATCAATATTAAAGCTTTTTACCTTTAACCAAATTCAAACGTCTCCCTCCACTAGATGCACAACACAGATAGGCCGTGGGGCCCTTCTCTGGTCTCATCCTTGTGCCCTGATCACTCGCAGCTGCTCTGGCCCCTTTAGGGTCGGATATAGAAGGGAGGAGGAGACAAGGGACAAGACCCCCCAGTAAACATCTGTGGTAGAGGAGGGAGGGAGGGAAGGAGGGAAAGAGAAAGGGGAGTGAGCGAAACTTGCACGCCTTAAAGAGTTTCACAAAAAAAAAAATAAAAAATAAATAAAAAATAAAATAAAAAAAAATAAAAAAAAAAAAAAGAGTTTCACAAATGTATTCTACCTACTAGGGTAGAATCAAAAACGGTGGGGGGGGGCATTGGGGGCTCAGTTCTTTTATGTTTAAGTTTTATTAAGTTTTTTTTTTTAAGTTTATTTATTTATTTTGAGAGGGAGAGAGAGAAAGAGAGAGAGAGCATGAGCCAGAAAGAGACAAAGAGAAAGAATCCCAAGCAGGCTCTGTACTGAGAGCGGAGAGCCCGACGCGGGGCTCGAACTCATGAGCTGTGAGATCAGGACCCGAGCCGCTCAGACCCTTGACGCCCTGAGCCATCCAGGCGCCCCGGGGGCTCAGTTCTTAGTGCGGCCCTGCACGTCCGCGGGTGCCGCAGTTCCCTTCAGCTTTCATTTGGCAACCGAACGGCTCTCTGGCCAGCAAAAACCATTGGTGGCCCATATGCAGGGTTGCTAGATTCTTCTGGAAACAGCCCTCTGAGGAAGTGGGGTCTTCTTCGTTTTTGCCAAAGTTGCTTCCACAGAGGGGTCCACCCTGGGCTTCTGACATAGGCGACCGGAGCAGAGCACCCCGGTTTGGGCAAGATGCCCCCAGCACATGTCAGACCCAGACAGGCCAGACAGGCCCAGAAGGGTGGGCGCAGCAATCTGCTGCGCACGCACGCCCAACAAGGAAAACACAGACCACATCCAAAACTCGGATGCCAACAGGAGCAATACCATGAACTGAAGGGAGACTATTTGTCAGAAACAGCTCTGTCACTTGGCCCATAGGCTGAGACCAAACCACTGTCAACACACATACGGAGGCAAAGCGGAGGCCAAGGCTGCGAAGGGTGCCGTGCCAAACGTCGTCTCCAAGCCCTCTGCTTCTGGGGCTCTTGAATTTCAAGGACGCAGGCCACCTGTGACTGATCGCTCACGAGACCCAGGAACGTACAACACCATCCAGCTCAAGCCTGCCATGCCCACGCGGGACTTTGCATAGTGGAGCTCAGTGGCGCTCTGGACATCAATCTCCAGCATCTGGAACCTGCCCCGAGCCTCCTTAACACCTCCTAGTATCCTATTTAGGAATCCATTTTCCACAGCTTCATCCAGATCCTTCCTGAACCTAATTATACCTTCTCCCGGCTCCCATCCTGGTAGAAAGAGTTCTGGAAGTTTACCACAATTGTTTGGGCCTCTTTTTATTTACGCTATAACAGTCCCTTCCAAGTTTCTGTGGCGGTCCCCAAGTCGCACCCCGCCAAACGCCAGAGCATCCGTCCCCATCCACTCACTTCCTTCAGGGACCTCACCTCTGGCTCTTCTCAGCATGCATGTTTCACCATGCGGAAGCTTTCTTTTCTTTTTCTTTTCCTTCCCACACTTTTTAATTGCAAAAACAACACAGGAATGTATGCTCCTTGTTAAGAGATGCAAACAGGACACCGGGACACCAAGGGAGAAAATGGAAGCCCACCCACCTTCCACCCCTGCCCTCGGACCTCTGGACTCTCCCGAAAGGTAACTGTAGGAAATGTTCGCCTATGCATTTTTTTCGGGGCATACATCCCCATAAACCAGAATGTTTTTTCATAAATGAGACCATGTTATACAGATCACTCTACAACTTGAAAAGCTTGTTTTGGGGCGCCTGGGTGGCGCAGTCGGTTGAGCGTCCGACTTCAGCCAGGTCACGATCTCACGGTCCGTGAGTTCGAGCCCCGCATCGGGCTCTGGGCTGATAGCTCGGAGCCTGGAGCCTGTTTCCGATTCTGTGTCTCCCTCTCTCTCTGCCCCTCCCCCGTTCGTGCTCTGTCTCTCTCTGTCCCAAAAATGAATGAATGTTGAAAAAAAAAAATTAAAAAAAAAAAAAAAAAAGCTTGTTTTTTTCAGACTATCCTCATATGCGGGGGATGAGTGCAGAGCCCACACTACTGTGGGTGTCTGGGGAATAATACTAATAGAAGCCATGGGTAAGTATTTCCAAACAAAAATGAGGGAAATAAAATTGTATGCAAAGTTTTCCAGAAGCACTTTGTGTGTGTGTGTGTGTGTATGTGTGTGTATGCGCGCGCGCGCGCGCGCTTTCCTGAGTCTCGCCTTACCCAGCCATTAAGCATACAGCCTGCCCGGCACAAAACATCCCTGCTTCCCCGGTGCTATATAAGACATTCATTTCCAGGATTCATCTTAATAGTTCTCCGGGGTTTGGTAAATAAATATCACAAAGGAGACGTCGCTGGGACCTGTCTCTTGCCTTCCTCCGTAACAATAAGCAGAGTGGTGCGGTAGAAAGGACAGGATTGGGAGAAAGCAGACAGAAGGTCAGTCCTGAGTTGCCACTAACTTGGGGACCTCCCCTTGGCGCTCCATTTCCTCACCCGAAGGAAAGATAACGCTGTAATAGGTACCCCCGGAGGGGGTTTAGGATCCAAAGACACGGAAGGGACGAATGCACGTTGTGTGCTCTAGAGAGCGATCACAACTCTGTGAGTTGTAATTATTAAATGAGGAAATGCTGAATTCGACTGAGCTGCGCAAACGGGCATTTGGCAACTTTTACTTGCGTGCTCACGCGTTTTCTGGGGGAATTCAACCTCGCGGTGAGCAGACGCTGCCCTAACCGTCTCTGGGGTGGCCAGGGCGCCACCTGCCGGCAGAGGAGGAAGCCACCGGTGCGTCCCGGCGCCTCGGGTTCGGTGACCTGGCTCCTTCTCCGGCCCCGCAGCGGATCCGTCCAATCGGAGCCCGGTTCCACGTCCCCAGGTGACTGGGGGGTGCTTAGCAGAGGCTCCTTCGCGGTCCCGGCCCCCAGGACGGGACGGAATCGTCCCCCCCCCCCCCGCCCGCCGCCTCCCCCCGGTATCCCTGGGCAGCAAGCAAGAGAGGCGGGAGACCGGACGCTCGGCCTTGGCAACCCGGGAACCTGCTCCCCAACACAAAGCCGCGACCGCGCAGGTGAGCGCGGCGGAGCCACGTGACCCGGTAAACATCCAGGGACTGAGCCACGCAGCCCCAGCGGGCCACGGTCGCTCCCTCCGCGCGCCTCCCCACCCCACCCCCACCCCCGCAGGTTTCGGCCACCTCCACTCGGAGCCGGGAGCCGAAGGGGGGCGAAGGTTGGGGGAGCAAAGAAAGGAAGAGAGAAGGTGGGCGCGGCCAGAGACCACCGCAGTCCCGACCCCGCGCCCCCCACCCCCGCCCCGGCCCAGGCCGCCCAAGCCCCCAGCCTCCGAGCGCCCCGCGTCCCCAGCCCCACCGCCCAGTGCTCCATCCCCACCCCCCCACCGCCCGGCGCCCTCCGCCCGCCAGCCTCTCGTCTCCAGCCCCGAGCCCCCGACCGCCCCGCGTCCCCAGCGCTCGCCCCCCAGGCCCTGCCGTCGCCGCGCTACTCACCGGCGGCTCCCGTAGCCGCTGCCGGGGGAGCCGGCGCCCGGCTCGGGGTAGCCGTGCTGCTGCAGGGCTGCGGCCGGGAAGGGGTACAGGAAGCCGGTGGCCAGCGCCGACCCGCAGAGGCAGCAGCACGCCCAGGGCAGGAGGAGAGCCAGCTTCATCTTGCGCGGCCGCCCGCGGGGACCCGGAGCCCGGGCGGCAGGACAGGCGGGAGCGCACCCGCGGCCGGACCGAACCCGCGGCCCCCGCCGGGAGCAGAGCGAGCGAGCCTGCGAGCGAGCGGAGCCCGGGTGCGAGTTGGAAGTTTCTGGGGGGCGCCCACGCCTCTCCAGGGCCGCCTTTTCAAATTCGGCGAGGTGGGCTCAGCTCCGTCAAAGGGGGCGTGGGGCTTTTTCATTAACCCTCGGCGGTCCGGGGCCGAGGAGGCGGCAGTGGCTGCAGAGCTGGGGGTCCGGGGGGTGGGGAGGGAGCCGCGTGCCCGGAAAGCCAGACGTCGCGCCTGCGTCCTCGCGCACGCACTCTAGAACCTTCCCAACCAAGCCCTCTTCGGGTCCGCAAACGCTCGTGGGATCCCCGCTGCATGCCTGGCAATTTCACCTGGGCGATTTTAATCCCCACAACGTTGCCCTCGGTATTAGATGCCACCATTCCCATTTTTTAGAGGCGGAAGCAGAGGCCCAAAAGAGTTAAGCCGGAAAAAGAGCACGCTCTTGGTCTAGGGCCCTTTGGACAAAACTACTTCACACCCAGGCTTCCTTAGAATCTTCTCCTTTTTCACCTCCACCCTCTACCTTGCCAATTCTCTCTCTCTCCAAGGTGAGCTGTAGCCAGGAATGAGGAAAGCCCTGGACTTGGGGGTGAGAAGTTGTCCTTGGAATCACCGATTCATGAGGCATCAGATCTGGAAAGTAGCTTCAGGGGAGGGGAGATCGGATTACAATCCCACCTTTTACAGATGGGCATGGCCAGTCCCAGATCCCACACTGAGCCCATGGGCCGCCTGGCCCCAAGTTGATCTTTTCTGGGCTGCAAGATCTCCAGAGCGCTGTACCTCAAGCAGGGGACAGGTGGGGCCCAAAATCTAGGCTGTGCCCCCTCTCCCCAGATTGAGTCTTTCTAATTCTCCCTGAAGCATCCTAGGGGCTGACAGAGGCCCCAAAGCTGCCTCTTGGCCCCCCCTAACTAAGAGCTCCTAGTCTGTAAAATGCCCCGAGGTCTGGAGAGAAGCCATCCAATATGGAAGTGCTTAATGGGCTGCAGTACATTTTGTAAGAGAATTCTGGAATTGTTTTTAGGGGAATACAGGAAGATGCCGCTGGGGATGTGAATAGAAAGGCCCACTCCCGCGGCTTCTGTCCTCTTGTTTACATATCCCATATGTACCCTCTTGAGTACCTATCCCCAAACATATCCAACCTGCTTCACCTTCTCCCCAAACTACCCATCTTTCTCCACTCGGCTCTCTCACATCCTGCTGAGGCCTCGTCAGTGGACTTCCCAAGTCCCGAGTCTCTGACCAGGACTCAGGTTGGATACAGTCCATCTCCGAGTGGGCAGTGCATAATGGGAAATGTCACTTGGACCGAGAACTACTTCCTTCAACTTGCCCTCCATCCCTCTCTCAAGACCTAAAAGATTTGAGAGTTTGGGTTATCAGGGGATTTTCAGGGCCTCCCCAGAAGGAATCTGAACTGTGGTCCCTGGGCAGTTGGCTAACACCCAGTAAGTGGTGAGGTCATTCCCCACCCCCCAGGAATTTGTAAGCATTCTGTCTTCTTCCTTCCTCTCCTTTACTTGTATAATGAGACCTTAAAGACCAGAGAAATTCCATGTAGCTATAAATTAGCTTTATGCTGCAGGCGTGACATGAAGGGAACAAGATTTTTTTTTTTTTTAAGGATTTCGTTTTTATCTTAAAGTCATTTGTCCAGTGCTACAGGCTGCACCCAGACAAGAGAGGTGCAGAGAGAAAAGAGGGGTAACACTATTCTGTACACCTCAGGGTTCGTTCAGGATGGAAAGCTTTAGGGAAAGAATTAATTCATCCCGGCAACTTCAGGACTGAGACAGTTGTCTGAGTTTGGTCCTCCGTTTCATATGTAGGACAGTAAGTTCCTTCTGGCCCCACGAACGTGACCAGGAAGCTTCTGTGTTCAGCACCATGCTGTGCACAGTGAGGGCTGGTAGAGAAGCAAATAATATGGTTGTCACCCTCACGGTGCCTGCACTACTCTTCAGGGAGGCATTAAAATGGCAAAAGGCAGGGGCACCGGGGTGGCTCAGTCGGTTAAGCGTCCAACTCTAGATTTCGGCTCAGGCCGTGATCTCGTGGTTTGTGAGTTCGAGCCTTGCATAGAGCTCTGCACTGACAGTGCGGAGCCTGCTTGGGATTCTCTCTCTCCCTCTCTCTCTGCCCCTCCCCTTCTCTCTCTCTCTCTCTCTCTCTCTCTCTCTCTCTCTCAAAATAAAGTAAAAAAAAAAAAAATAGCAAAGGGGAACCAGCAGTTCGGACAAAAGTTCTGCAAACAAGAGGCGGTTCCATTTAGATGGTAAGGGATAAAAAGACAGATGCATAAAATCAGGAAAAGAAATATGATACTGCCCACACCACCCAGACCCAGAAGCCCCAGGTCTGTTCCGGCCTCCCCCACTCACTTGCTGATGACCTGCAGAAAACTCCCCTCTCTGGCCCTTCCCAGTGTCTTCATTTGTAAAGTGAAAAGTGTATTGGTTGTCTCTGAAGATCTTTCCAGGTCCGGCCTTCAGTAATTCACTCTTCTCTTCGTCTGCCACTCCCCTCTCCAAGGCACCTGTGGATATACCCAGCCTTACTGAGCTGTCACTCTTGTACGTAAGATTTTCAGCTGCCACCCCCCCCCCACCCAAGATGGGGCCGCGGGAGCCAAGAAGAACGGAGAAGGGTTCAATAGCAATACACTCTAAACTCCCCCCAGAGAACACCAGTGAGTAGAATCCCACTTCAACAGGTACCAGCCCTGTGACTTTGGACATGTTACCTAACCTCTCTGAGCGCCCTCGTCTGTAAAACCAGAGTAATAATCACGACACCTAGTGCATGGGTTTGCTAAAAGAATTCAATGAATTCTTCACCTGCAGTGCTTGAATGGTGCTGGCACCTTATGACAATAAATGTTCATTATGGTAATTTGTAAGGCTTTGGTGAGGGATAAAATTGAAGAGCACCCCCCTTCTCAACCCCCACGCCCAAGTGGGGCTGACCAGGAGGCTCATATCCCAGGGTGCAGAGCTTTCTCAGACGAGACTCTGAGAGGCCCCGGGACAAACCCAGTATTCCAACAATTTAAAACCACACTTTATTTTATTTAAAAAAAATTTTTTTTTAATGTTTATTTCACTTTTGAGAAAGAGACAGAGCATGAGCAGGGGAGGGGCAGAGAGGAGGGAGACACAGAATCCGAAGCAGGCTCCAGGCTCCGAGCTGTCGGCACAGAGCCCGACGCGGGGCTGGAACTCACAAACCGCGAGATCATGACCTGAGCCGAAGTCGGACCCTTAACCGACTGAGCCACCCAGGTGCCCTGAAACAAAACTTTATTTTAAAACAAATATGAGACTATTATTGTGAAGGATGTACAGTTTGCGTGTTTTCTCTTTAAGATAAAACTTACTTGTGGTGAGTGGCAAACGGGATGTTTGAGGGCCCTGAAGTAAAGGGTCAGGCGGTACCTCAGAGAGTCTAGGGGTCTTCAATCACGGGCACTGATTGGCTGGCCTAATCGGTGCTCCACCCACCCGCTTGTGTCTGTATTCCACACCGGTGCCTTCGGCATCCCACAAATACCCGTTAGCACTTCGGGAGAGGCAGAAGCCACTGTTCCCAGGAGCCTAAGACATTGAGCCATAAGGGCTTGGAGCTGGGACCCTGACTGCAGGGCTGACTCCTTCCTCCTCTCTTCCTTGGTGACCTTGGGCGATCACAGAACCTCTTCCCTCCCAACCTCAATGTAACGAAAACCGGCCGAATGAGGCTGGGAGGCTTTCCTGAGCTCCTCCACTGTTTGCCACAGGCCTGACATGGACAGGCAGGGGTCCTCGGAATTACTTTTCAGACAAGGAGTGGAGACAAGTGATTTGTCCAGGGCCCTGTGCTCTCTCCTCCTTTTGCAAGTTCAAAAGTGCCTTGAAAACGGGTTGTTTGTACAAAGACGGATCAGATTTCTTGGTGGAAGGAGACAGCCCCCCACACACACACATACACACACACACACACACACACACACACACACACTAGAAGAGTGGGCCCCTCCCCAACTCTGTTAGCAGGCGTTTCTGATAAGAAAGTATCAGTCAGCATCCTCTATCGCAGACAAAAAGCAGATCTTCTGTTCTGCTGAAGTCAGCAGAGAGAGCCACTGAACAGAGAAGTAATACTCATCAAGCTGAAGCCAAGGTAAATATTGACCTTCCGGCATGATAAACCCTCCTGTTAATCTAAAACAGAAATCTTCCCCTCCCCCGCCCAGTGCCCTATTGCACATGGATTCTCCGGTTCCCCCCAGAAGTTCAGGGAGGCCGCATAGGAACGGAGACGTTTTCACATTGATTTCTCCAACAGCCCGTAATCCCAGCTGTTCCAGATCCCAAGACGGCACAGAAATGGGCAGGGTTGACTCCAGGTCGCAGGACGGTCACAGCGGAACTGCTCCAAGCTTTTTGTCCTTGGGCCGGGGCAGAGTGGGAGCCAAACATGGACACTCTGCAAGATGCGAACCCTGAATTTTTCTCCTTTCCCCCACACACCCCCACAGGTGTCCACCCGGGCCCTATAAACAGGAACGCTGCTTTGCCCAGCACACCTGCAAGTGTAAGCCTACCTGTTTCCCCCAAACACCGGCAGTGAGATAGATGTTCAGAAGACGGCGAATTTGACGGCTGCCACAACAGCCCATGACCTTAAACAGAAGTTTGAAGGGGTGGGGGGGAGGGGGAGTGTCAAAAACAGAACCTAAAAAACACTAAAAAAAAAATAGGGAGTGTGCTCAATCACCCACACTAAAAGCCCAACTTGTATGGTGATAAGTTTGCTCCCTAATGTGGCCACAGCCCAGCAAATGCTTCCCAAAGAGCTTAAGGAGACGGTTCGATGATAAACAAAGGAAGGCCGTGTCTTCGTGTGTTCCTTCCGCTGCTATAAAGAACACCATAGACTAGGGGGCTTATAAACCATAGGAATTTATTTCTGACAGTTCTGGGAGCTGGAAGTCCAAGATCAAGGTGAGGGCCCACTTCCTGGTTCATGGGAGGCCATCTTCTCGCTGTGTCCTCACATGTCAGAAGGGGCAAGGGAGCCCGCTGGGGTCTCTTTTATGAGGGCATCAGTCCCGTCCAGGAGGGCTCCAGCCTCCTGAGCTAAGCACCTCCCAAAGGCCCCGCCTCCAAATACCATCATACTAGGGGGTTAGGATCTCGAGGGATGGATGGGGAGTGGGGGGGGGGGGGGACACAAACATTCAGTCCCTCGCAAGGGAGAGGCGATGCCCAGGAGAGTGTTGGCCTTACCGGTTTTACCCTGGCGCAGGTATGAAGACGGTGGGGTGTTTAGACACGGTAACCCCACATCATGATGGCCCTCCCACCAGTGCCCGAGCTGAGGGTCTGTGATGGCTAGTTCTTCCCAGGGCTCCTCACTCCCCGCACTGCCCAGTGCTGCAGCTCAGCACTTGGGGCTCCTGCCACGAGACCGTAAAACAGAGCGACGGTGAGTGACTGGGGAGGTAGGAGTGGCCACGGAGGGACCCTGCACTTAGGGAAGACCGGCCGGGAGTGATCCAGACCTCCCCGGTCGTGCGGGGAAAAGCAATGAAACTTGTTCTTTGAGTCCCAAGGACGACTTGGAGGCCAACGCATGATGACGGCCGCTGAACGCAAGGAGAACTTCGCGAGTCAGGTAAGTGGAAAGCAGGAGCCAAGGCCCTGAGACCGTGGTTCCAGGCCCTCGGGGCAAGAAAGGCACCTCATCCATGGAAGACTTTCCCCCAAATGGGCCTGAGCAAGTCTGGGAGAGGAAACTGGTGTTCACCAACGTCTGGATCAGCTGCCTTCTCCAGAGAAGGGCTCCCCCCCCCCCCGGCCCCCCCCCCCCCCCCCCCCTTGCAGCTGGGCAGGGCCACGTGGCTAGCTCTGGCCGCTGGGTAGGAGCAGAAGGGACCACGCCCACTTCTGGGCAAAGAGAGGTGAGGGGGTATGACTTCTCCAAGCCCTGTCTGTCCCCCAGATGTTCCCTGGGCTGGGCCTGGGTCAGCCTGGACCCCTGTGTGCAGAAGGCTTTCCCCCACCCAGCCCGCCCCCTAACTAGCGCTGGAGAGCCTTCAGTGGTCAGCCACGGAGATGTCAGGGACATCTTACTACTGTAGCATTGCCTGGCCTTTTCTAATACATTAAAGGACGTATGTGTGCTTTGGTGGCTTGGTGCAAAGGGGCCCTTTGCCCTGCAGAAGCGGTCAGAAAATGATCTCCTACGGATAAGATTGAACCTTTTGGTGCCTGTCCATCTGCGTCTATGCAAGATCTGGGTCACGTCCCTCTCTTTCATTTCCCCAGATGTGTCTGTCGCTCTCACTAAGCAAATCCTAACGTGTGGCGAACCAAAGGGCACAGGTGAGGCTCTGTGCTAGGCCCTAGAGGTGCCCAGCCGAATCAGACATCAGTTTCACCCACAGCTGGACTTACAGGAGGACCCTTAGGAAGGACGCAAATAAGGAAATGTTGTCCCTGACGCCATGTGATCCAGAATTAACAGCTCAGAGGAGGCTGGGGATTCCGGGCAGGGAAATCCGTTTGAACTCCGGAGAGGCCTTGAAGCAAGAGGAGAGATTTGAACAGAGCTGAGAGGCAGGGAGGGCACAGGGAGCAGGAGCAGGGGCGGGGGGGGGGGGGTGGAAGAGGGCCTGGGGTGGAGCGGAAGGTGCCTGCTTAGCTCCCACCTGTGCACCCAGCAGGTACCATGGTGTATGTGCACCCAAACCCCTTGAGAGCTGGAGAGAAGCCACCCCCCACCAAAGGCAGCTGTCCGGGTGAATGGGTGCTCTACGCTGCTCTGTGGTCTGTCCCCCGACACCCTTCTCCCCTACTCCCCCACCCCAACTCCAGGTTCCATCCTCCCCTCCAGACCACCTTGGAAAACCAGTGAGGAGGGGGACAGGCTCAGGCAGAAGGGGGACAGTAGGGAGCCAAGTTCTTCTTCAAACAGGTCCAAAGTCAGAGGGCTGAGGAGGGGTGGGGGTTGCAGGTTGGGGAGCAAAACGAAGGTGTGTGCCTGGCATGACAGAGGGCAAGCCCTGGACACGGGTGACCATCGGCGGGGTGGTGCTGCCACCACTCGGTCGGCTCACTCTGCATGCCCAGTCCCCTGGCTGCCATGGACCACCCCTCCCTCCCACATCTGCATTGTCTCCCAGGGGCCCTCAGACTCAGCGGGGTAAAAGCTGAGCTCCACCCTTAGGGTCACTGCCTGTCCACGCTTGTGTGAATTAGGGAAAGGCGGCCCCTGTTTTCGGGGTGGGCACACCCCCACTCAGGCTCAGCCCGCAGACCCCAGGATGGGCGTCAGCCCCCCCTTGCCCCTCCGCAGCCCTGTGGGGCAACCCCCACCCCCGGGGGCTCCTCTGCGCACACACCACCCGGACTGAAATCCGGTCCCCCTGCCCCGTATCCGATGGGGTCTCTAAATCTGGTCTATTCTAGATGACGCTTGTCCTCCCCCACCTCCACACCACCTCTGCATGCTCCAGCTCCAGAGGGACACCTCTGTTCCCTCAACGGGCCAGGATCTTTTCCATTGTTGAGACTGCACAGCCGGCTCCCCTCTGTCTGTGCTGTGCTGCAGACTGAATGCTTCTGGCCCGCCCAGACTCACATGTTGAAAGCCCACCCCCAAGGCAATGGCCTTAGAAGGTGGGGCCTTTGGGAGGTGATTAGGTCATTAAGGTGGAGCCTCCTGAATGGGGATGAGTGCCTTGCTTTTTTGTTTGTTTTAATGTTCATTAAATATTTATTTTTGAGAGAAAGAGCGACACAGAGTATGCGTGAGGGAGGGGCAGAGAGAGAGGGAGACACAGAATCCGAAGCAGGCTCCAGGTTCCGAGCTGTCAGCACAGAGCCTGACGGGCTCGAACCCATGGACCGTGAGATCATGACCTGAGCCAAAGTCAGACGCTTAACCGGCTGAGCCGCCCAGGCGCCCCATGAGCACCCTTCTAAAAGAGACTTCAGAGAGTTCCCTTGCTCCTTTGCCGTGTCAGGAGACAGAGATGTCTGTGAACTGGGAAGCAGGCTGTCACCAGACACAGAATCTGCCAGCACCGTGGTCTTGGAGGCCTCCAGAAGAGTGAAAAACAAATGCCTGTTGTTTAGAAGCACCCCCGGCCTGCGGTGTTCTCTTTCAGCAGCCCGAATGGACTAAGACTCTCTTCCACCCTCTGTCTGTGTCCCCACCCCGCACGTCCCCCCGTGAGTCTCCTCCAGAATCCAGCGCCTCACTAATCTCTCCAACTAGGACGATGCCCATCTGGTGCCTCCAGAGATCTTTCCACAATATCCTATGCCCACACCCATGTTCCCTTGCCATGCTTACTTCTTCACACGTCTGCCGTCTCCCCTACAACACACTTCACACTCCGAAACCAATGGTCGTTTCCCACTCGTCTCTGTGTCCGTGGGCCTGAGAGGCTCGCACCCAGTCAAAGCTTAGTCAATATTAGCCGGTTATCTGAGTGAATCAGTGAATCATTTGGTTAATTCCCCCAAACCCCCAGGAAGAAGAGAGCTGGGGGCCAAGCTGCTGTCCCCGGGGAGGTGGCATCTAAGGGACATTCGTGCAGGTTTTGGGCCCCAGACTGCAACTGTTTACTGTGTGTTCTTTATTTCTTTGTATGTGACAAAGAGAAAGAGAGAGCCACAAATGGAAATGGCAGGTGGGTTCTATATAGACGACAGGACCAAAAGAAGGAATTTGCCATTCATTGCAAGAGAGACCTAGCACCTGACCCACTCGTATCTCTATCTAAAATTACTACATTTACTGGGGCACCTGGGTGGCTCAGTCGGTTGGGCGTCTGACTTCGACTCGGGTCATGATCTCGCAGTTTGTGAGTTCGGGCCCTGCGTCGGGCTCTGTGCTGACAGCTCGGAGCCTGAAGCCCGCTTTGGATTCTGTGTCTCCCTTTCTCTATCTCTATCCTTCCCCCACCCACACTTTGTGTCTCTCTCGCAAAAATAAATAAACATTAAAAAAAATTTTTTTAATAAAAAAAAAAAAAAAGAAATGACTATGTTTACTACTTAAGCAAGAATCATCAAACCAAAAACCTCCACATAGCCTTGGTGAAGATCAGCCCACCATCACTTTAGAAAGATTTACCCCAGGGGCGCCTGGGTGGCTCAGCTGGTTAGGCATCAGACTCTTGGTTTCGGCTCCAGTCATGATCTCATGGTTTCATGAGCTGGGCTCTGTGCTGACAGTGTGGAGCCTACTTGGGATTCTCTCTTCCTCCCCCTCTCTCTGCCTCTCCCCCACTCCTGCTGTCTCTGTCTCTCTCAAAAATGAATACACAAAATTAAAAAAAAAAAAAAAAAAAAAAAAAAAGGCTTTACCCTGGAGGTCTTTGTTGCGCATAATCTAAAACACCTTCCCCGGGCTTCTCTGAAGGCATGTTTTGCTGAAAACCAGACAGGAAGGAAGGCCATATTCCCTAAGGGTGGCTTTGAGACTAAGACCCAGAAGAAAGAGAATGAAAAGTTGGTTCCACTTGATAAAACCCGTATTGCAATTTACTATTACCAAAGTGTCCGTTTGAAGTCAAAACAAGTTCTAGATAAGCCCTTCATTGAGAGACCAGAAAAAAAGGGGAAGGGGAGATTAAAGCAGTCAGAGTGGAATTCTGATTAGACAGTCATTAATTAAGACCATGAAAGTCCCGTGGAGTCTTCTTTGATTGGAGAAATAGTTGATTACAGAATTAAAGGCTTTGGGGGAAATCTTTGCATGCCGAAGAGAGCCAAAAATTAATTCTGGGATTTTAAAATTAAGGCATTATTAAAGCTAGGGCGTTGCTTGTAACCAGAAGACCATGTCAGTTTAATCAGACTCTTATGGGGAGAGAGAGAGGGGGCAACTGGTGGTTGGTTGCCAGAGGGGAATGGGTAGGGGATGGGCGAAATAGGGGAAGGGGATTAAGAGCCACAGACTTCCAGTTATAAAGCAAATAAGTCACGGCGGATGAAAAAGTACAGCCTAGGGAATACGGTCCATAATATTGTAATCACTTTGCATGGTGACAGAGGGTAACTATTTCGTAATACATATAATTGTCGGATCACTGTGGTACGCCTGAAATCGGTGTGATATTGTGTATTAACTTAACTCCAAGTTAAAAAAGAAAAAATCAAATCTTACAGGGGAGCAAGGGAGTCAAAGTAAGGAACCATTTTCTTTCAAAGCCCTGCGCTGCCGTCTGACTTCCATCTGGCCTGCGCGCCCTCACAGAGCCGCCCAGAGAAATCTTCGCCATGGGAAGCAGCCTCGTAGTCTGGGTGCACCTGGTGCTACACAGCGGCTGTCCTGCCGCCTGCAGGCCTTCCGGCATCAGGCCCAACAGGACCCGGACGCAGGCACTTGCCGCGGGGTGCTGTGGACCTCTTTCTTAGCCTTGAACTCCAGTTTCTTTGTCTGTCTGTAAGACAGAAAGAGGATTCTCACCTAGGGTCACTAGGAGAGTTCCTGCTCACATACATTCTTCTGTATAATAGTAGAAAGGGACTCACCTACAAAAGCTCGAACAAGCACTGTTCTCTGCCTCACTTCCTCTCTCCAACCCACCCCTAAGTGGCCTTCAGAAAAGATGGTTCCGGAACGCAGATCATGTCATTCCCCTCGAGGCCTTTGCAGAGGGTGCCAAGGATTTGGATTTGATCTCCCTTTAAGCCTGATGCCAAAAGTCCCTCTTGGACTCATCCCTTGCCCTAGCTGCTCTCCCTCAAACACTCACAGTGGCTCCCCATTACCTACACAATAAAGTCTGAACACTCCTAGATCTGGCGTTCAAAGTCCTTCACCACCTGGCGCCAAACTACCTTTCTAGAGTCATCTATCACCGCTTTCTTTTCCATACATAAATCCCAGAGCAAGTCACATACACAGGGTCGGGAAATTGTAGCAGCTAAGGTAAGATTATAACAGGAAATGGCACCCGAGGCAGCTGAGCAGAGAAGACGTGAGCAACAGCCAGACAAGAGGCCAGTTCCACTGCACCAGCAGGGACACATCACAGGGGGCCAAAGTTGCCCCACTCGCAGGGGGTGGAGCAGCCCTGCAGGGGTTTAAACAGAGGCCGGAAGTGATTCGGTTTGCATTTAGGAAGCTTTCTCTGGCTGCAGAAGCTAGAACAAATAGGAACAGGGAAGGTTGGAGGCCGGGAAGACCAACACAGAGGCTTTTGCAGAAAAGTAGTGCAGGGGCACTACCTGGGTGGCTTGGTTGGTTGAGTGTCCAACTCTTGATTTAGGCTCAGGGTCAAGGGATCAAGCCCAGTATTGGGCTCTGTGCTGAGCAAGGAGCCTGCTTAAGATTCATTCTCTCTCTCTCTCTCTCTCTCTCTCTCTCTCTCTCTCTCCCCCCGCCCCTCCCCTGCTCACACTCACTCTCTCTCTAAAATATCAATAAATCAATAATAAAAATAATTTTTAGGGGCGCCTGGGTGACTCAGTCAGTTGAGCATCCGACTTGGGCTCAGGTCATGATCTCACGGTTCGTGAGTTCAAGCCCTGCGTCGGGCTCGGTGCTGGCAGCTCAGAGCCTGGAGCCTGCTTCCGATTCTGTGTCTCCCCCCTCTCTGCCCCTCCACCACTTGTGCTCCGTCTGTCTCTCTCAAAAACTAAATAAACATTAAACAAAAATTTTAATAATAATGGTAATAATAATTTTTTAAAAAGCATAGCTGGAAGATGAGTGGAGATGGTGATGAGGGAGCAGGTTAGACAGAATTAGAGAGAATCCCCCGAAAACCTGCTGACCGCTTAGGTCTATACCGTCCAACCCTGTGGCCACCAGCCCCTGCCTGTGGCTGTTGAGCTCTTGAGACGTGGCTGGTCCACAGCTAGATGTGTTACAACTATAGCGTATACACCAGGTTTTGAAGAACTGACTCCAAATTTTAAAAAGAATGTAAAAGGGGTGCCTGGATGGCTCAGTCAGTGGAGCATGTGACTCTTGATCTCAGGGTTGTGGGTATGAGCCCCACGTTGGGTGTAGAGATTTAGTTAAAAATAATTTTTAAATCCTTAATAAATAAATAGGGGGGCGCCTGGGTGGCTCAGTTGGTTAAGCGTCCGACTTCGGCTCAGGTCATGATCTCGCGGTCTGTGAGTTCGAGCCCCGCGTCGGGCTCTGTGCTGACAGCTCGGAGCCTGGAGCCTGTTTCAGATTCTGTGTCTCCCTCTCTCTCTGACCCTCCCCCATTTATGCTCTGTCTCTCTCTGTCTCAAAAATAAATAAAAATGTTAAAAAAAATAAAAAAATAATAAATAAATAGATAAATACATACAAAGAGAATGCAAAATATCTCACCACTAACTTTTACATTATTCTATGTTGAAATGATCATTTTTTTATACACTGGGCTAAATAAAATTGTTAAAATTAATTTTCCTTTTTTCTCCTACATGTTTTGAAGGTAGCTATTAGAAAATTCAAAACCACATGCAAAACTTCTGTTATATTTCTATCGGAAGCACGAAGGGTGAAGTGGGTATCTGAAATGATGCTGGGTCCCCGCCCAGGAGACAGCCCGTGATAATGGTGAGAATGGAACACAGCTCCAGCTTCCTGGACGCAGGTACTGTCCCAAGCACCTGAAATTCTATACTCTTTGATTCGTTCCAACAAGTGAACAAGGTACCGTTATTATCCCCATTTTATAGATGGCAAAACTAAGGCACAAAGAGCGGTGATTCAGACCCAGGCAGTCTGGGACTCCTAGTCACTGTGTATACTGCCCCCTTCTAGGAGGGC